CAAACATCTAGGGAACATTCTGAAAATAGGGAATACTTCAGACCTTTAATGAATGTAATTCTACCATTTTTCCACCGGCCTCAACAATGAAGGGATCAATTCTTTTTTAAAAGGGATTGATCATTTGCTGGATAGTAGGTTTGGGATCGGTTCTTCAAGCCAAGGGATTGATCATTTTTTGAAAAGGGTTCGATCATTTCCTATATGAGATCAATCCTTTTGATGGAAAAGTGAATAATTCTCAAGAACATGCATTTCAAGTTGTTAAACATCAACATAAAAGTTACTACAAGCTAGGATCATGCTTGAATTCTATCAAACCACTTCATAAATACCAAAATACATGTGCAATATGATTAATAACATAAGTCAACACAACATACAAGATTTTGGCATCAAAAGTCAAATATTGCATAAATGATCATCTTTCGCACAAGTCACCTACTCTAAATTATGCATTTTGGTCATTTCATGCTATATGAGAGTCTAAAAAGTTTGGTTAACCTAGTTACACTTTTCTAGGCACTTTGACGCCAGACAGAATAACGATTATCCTGTAGGCTAGTTCCAACAGATGATTCACAAGAGAAAATTCGCCCAAAAACCAGAGAAAAAAAGTCTCTAGGGTTTAATAAAATATTATAAAATCAAAACTGTCCAAAATCAGTCCACAAGCCGGACTGTTATAGTCAAAAATCTTGTTTATCGGAATTTTACAAAAAATAGCAAAATCTCGAAAATCACTCTAAATTGAAATTCAAAATAAAATAAGCAATCTACAAAAAATATGGCCGAAATCGGATTTAAAAAGACTTTATAATTGACAATCGAAATATTATCATAAATAGTAAAAAATATCTAAATCTAGTGATTCAGAGGGGAAAACGGCAAAATTTGAGGTCGAAAAAAGGGCCATATGGAGCATAGCTCGATGTGGAAAGCGTACGCGTCGAAAAGAACTTTCTGGATTGGGGTCTTATGCGCGATTCTGACACCCGTAGCCAAAGTTATGGCCAAAAGACTGAAGCACACTCAAAACGACCCCAATGAGGAAACATATCACAATCAATTCCAGTCTTTGCGCTGATATGCCAACTCATGGTATCTCAGCGCCATCAAGGTGCAATCTGAAAGCTCAGCATCATCTGTCTCGAATCCCCCTGCATCACACTTCAAACACTTATTTAAGGTTCAAGTCACCATTTCAGCATTCACATGCATCAATTAACTAAGTTCATGGATATCAACTCCAAAATAACAAATCAAATCATCGATAAATCTCCAAACACAAAATCAAACACCACAACATAAGTGAAATTATTACAAATCAACATAACTACAATTTTCTAAGTCTCGAAATGTATCCCACATTGTCACCATTTATTTTTCGAAAACCACATACACTTCTCTTTAACTTTTTGCTTGCTATATTAATTTTGATGCTAGCCCCTCACCTCTGTGTCGATTCTATTCCTCTGAAAAATGTTAAACGAGTGTGAGCTGAAAAGCCTAATAAATAGCAATCATTCTAAGATGATGCATATAGCCAATATGAATTAAAGCCCTATATGCACATACCTTACTTGTTTTTACCTCAACAATTGAAAAGTCATATCATGCTCGGATGATAATCTATCGTACACTAAATGCACACAATTTCCAAATTATTTAGGTGTCATTTGTTCACATAGTTCAACGATAACCACAAACAATCATGCACAATTACCTTTTTCGGCAACGCACACACAATGCACACATATTTTCCATTAAAAGATCAATGGTCGTTGTTCAAAACACAACTCAATCATTGGATAAACAAACTCCACACAACTCCCATTTTATTTATGGACTCATATAGGTCCCAAACCAAGAAATTACAGTGCAAATCTCAATGCCCAACCTTACCCCGTGACTTCTCAGAGCATAGCTCAACACGCCAACCGAACCCCATATAAACTGATCACATGCACGTATAAAATGCATAAAGAGCTCTTTCCTAAGAATGTCTTTCATATCCAAAGGTCCCATTAAGAACAAATAGCTAATTAATCCAAGTTCATCAAAAGTGGTTGTTAATGACGCATAGTGTTTTTCACATACACTGATTCAAACTCATTTAGAAACCCAATCACAATTAGTTGTCATGATCAACCCACATTATGGATAGTGAGAATGTTCGACTAGTCCAAACACTCATTCACATTATATATAGATTTTTGAAAACATTTTTCAAAATCCTATGCATCATTTGTAACACATTACATTCACATTTCACATTCTCATCTCCGACATATGTTGCATCACATACAATATAACACAATTCAAATTATCAATAGCATCATTATTTGAGTCACAAAATCAGAGCTAAGATCAAGTATCAAACCAACCTACACTTTCCTCAACCTTGAACACATCTATTCTCAAAGAATGAAAGTCACTGACCTTGCTTCCCGGTAACTGAAAAGTCTACTCAAACGCTCACCAAAACACAAAGAAAAACTCCACCTCAAAATTTAACACATCAAACACCTTGGCGAGAAAAACAACACATCAAAACTAATGCTAAAACAGAGCAGGATTTTATATTTATTAAACAGAGGGAAAACGTCGAAATTGCCGAAGTAACTCTCCGAAACCTCCGATCCGATTTGTATCACTTATCCTCAGTGAAATTTGATAAAAAATATAATAAATATCCAATCCAAATAGAACCCCACAATTGAACCTCTACAACTCTTAATTCTCGGATTCCCGAAAATGTCAAAATTAAGCTTATTTTCAATAAATTGATATCCAAATCAAAAGCACATGAAAAACTATTTTAATGTGGTAATAATCATCCGAAAAATATCTCAATTTCATTAAGAAAACTTCATAAACACCTCCATAAAATTATCGCAATAATTAACTTCAAAAATCAATTTCAACTCATTAAATCTTTTTCAATAGATTGATAAATCAAAGAAGCCATTAAAAAAATCACTTGCCCTCGAAGCATGAAAGAAACCCAAGGAAAGGAACATTACCTTGCTGCTAAAGATTGAAAAGAGAAGAAAGAGATTAACAATGGCACTCCATCATGATCAAGAATAAAATCGATAATTAGGAGTAAAGAGAAACCTTTGAGAATTGAAATTAAGTTTAAAGAAAAGATTATTAGGAATCAAAGAGAAGAAAAGAGGAAGAAAATGCTCAGCAAAAGGAGAGAAAAATGAAATATTGATGAGAAGTTACAAACAGTTGAAGAGAAGAAAATGAAAGTTACGTGAAATGAAAATCAAGAGTGAAAATGGATTTTAATTAAAAGATGAATCTAGATAGAATTTTAGTAAAAAGGGAAGATTAAAAATATGGTTTATTTAGGAGGGAAAAACTCTAAACACTTGCCTTGGTAAGATAACTTCATAGACTTTGGATTTGTGATAATTTACAAAATAGTCACTAAAATTACAATTTCCAAATAATTCAATTTAATTAACAAATCGAAAATCTAATTAAACTCTAAAATAAAATTCAATAACTAATAATCATTTAAAATCCCTCAAAGAGATTTCTAAGATCAAAATCAAAATTTTTAATATTATTTTCATTTATCAAAAAATCTAGAATCCGAACGAAAACTGATCCAAACTACTAACCCGGACTTTTGGATGTTACAATATCCTAGTCACATCTTCGTTCATTTGTAAGCTGTAACAATAATAGAGAGAATAAAGAAGATGAGATGATAATAAGAAGAGTTTGAAGAAAGAACCAATTGAGAGAGATGAAGAAGATCAGACAACGAAAGAATGTTATTTTATGTGAAAGGGAAGTAGTCTATTTGAAGCATGTGCGTTTTGGTTCATCAAAGAAAGCAAAGAATATAATCCGTAAGGAAAGATGCTGCTCAACCAAAGTCCATGGTTGAGCGTTATTTTATGTGGGTAAACCCAGAGAAGTGAAATTATTGATCTTTGAGACTTTGTGGGAACACCATCGACTACCAAAACTCTCAAGAAAGTGACAAAATCCCATAGGTAAAAAAGACAAACCATAATTAATTAGATAATAGAGAATAAATGCACAGATTAATATATGCAAATCGATTTTTTTTTAAGCTAGGTGAGAAATTGAACAAAGCAACAAGCAAGAAAAAAACTTCATAAAATGAAACAAATAAAGAGATGACTATATCAAACAAAAAGAAAAACCCAAATCTAAAACTTACAGTAGAACAAATCCCATGAAGGAAATCTAGTGTTTAAGCCCACATAATAGATTCTTCTTTTTGTTAACCTTAGCTGGGCATCCACAGTTGCAAAGCAGACATACATGGAGTTTTCCATCTTCATAGGATTGGGTTTAGAGATTGCTCTTACAATTTTCAGACAATTTTTAAAGATGAATGAAAAAGCCTAATTTTTAATTTAAGGAATTGGTTTTTTATTTAAGGAAGAAAAGGTTGTGACTGTTGGGAGATATTTGGGTCTCTAGTGTAGCGGTCAACCTAGTCAACCGAGTCCATGTAAACAGCTAACGCACCAGCTATGTTTTTCGTCATAGCCTATTAACAACGGTTAACTGTGAGTGACCATTTTGTAACCAATCGATAACGTTAGTGACTGATTTGTAACTTCTGAAACTTCAATAGAAAAAATAAAAACTTACTTAAACATTAATGACAAATGATGTAGTTTACCCAATTTTCATAATCAATTAATCAATAATATCAAATTTTAATTATATATAAAATCTGAATTATATTATATATAGAGATGGACCGAAAGGAATTGACAGAGCAATGAATTATTGAAAATTTTAAATTATCATATGAATATTTTTTATTGGTAATATATTTTTATTCTTTCAAATTTTAAAAATTTATTTTTAAAATATTATACATTCACTCCTAACGTAAAATAATTATATGTTCGTCACTTTATTTCTTTTAACAAAGTAAAATCGGAGTGTTATTCTCATCTATCTTTCCTTTATTTTATTCATTTTCCTTCACTCCCTCACTTCCCAAAAATCACATGTTCCATATCAAGATTCAACGATCCCAGTACTATCAACACTGAACCAGACAGAACATGTGTTTCCATGAAAGTGAAGATTACAAGTTCCAACACTGAAAAAACAACCCACCACCATACTTATTCTCAACAAAATAGATGTACGCATGCATGAAAACATTAATAAAACTACACTTGATTCTAGCCTTGAATTTTACATTGGCCGGGACCCCCATAGAAAAGGTCCTTGGTATTAGGGGCAGCACCATCAACAAGCTGAGCCTCGTAACAATCAGGCATACTGGTAGACACCACAAGTTGATCCGGCGGTGGATAAAACAAGTTCACATTGTCCCAGATCTGAGTGCCCTTACAGTAGGCAACTTTATTTTGAAGACCGTCTTTAGGGAAATGGCCACTCCCCATTGCAGGACTCCGCTTATTTGCAAGGCTGAAAACCTTACCTCCCCACACAACGTTATTAGCACCACCGTACATGTAAACGAACAACTTTTGTGGCCAATAACCAACGAATTGGTTGAAATACTTGAGCCACCATTCTCCATCCTATCAAAATCAAATCAATTGGTTACTAAAGATTTTCAAAGAAATTATAGAGCAATCTCAATGACCGACCAAAAGGAGTATTATTATCTCATGTTCAAGCAGCTACATCTGCAAGGTATAGGTTACTAATACTATCTTGTGATCACTAGACAATTAAGAAAGATTTTCAGAAAAATTTCTTCAAATTTCACTACTAAAAGATCGAGAAAGATTACCCTAAATATGCCGATTTCTATGTCCTTTTGTGTGCCATTGTAAACGGAAAGCTGGTTTAGAACGAGACCAATGGTTATTTGACGGTGAACATGAACGAATCCTGGACAAAGATAATTATAGCAGCCTGTGAATTTATGGCCATCTGCCTGTTGGAATAAACACCAAAAACAATTACATTGTTAGCTAAAAAAGGAGTTTAAATTGGATCCAGATGATTGTAGTATAGTTAAAAAACTTACAGTCCAGTAAATTAAGAGCCTGGTCAAGTTGCTCGAAAATAGCGGTGGCATAATCTGTAGGGGGAAAAATAAACTCTGATGTGTGTTGCTTAATAATAATCTAAGAGCTTTAAAGACCTAAATTTTGGCTACAACCAGGGATTTAAACAACAGTTGAATCGTATAATAGTAGCCGCTATATAACCGTAGGACGGTGTGTAAAACAACTATTGTAGTAAATAGCAGTGTTAAGCGGAAACACGTAAATAGTGATGAATCACGGTCACAATTTAATTAGTAGAGGCAACCCACCACAATAACTGTACTTACCGTAATTGTATATATTATGTCCACATCCGTAATTTAAATCGATGAGTAAATATAAAGAGTTGGCAACAATTACTTACACCCCAACCGGCTTGCAGAACATTGATGTCATTCGTAGGGCCATTAGTAATCCAGAGATTGCCAAAGCTGGCCTGATCAGCTGATGTACTTGGCCCCCAAACGTTCATGGTTGTTTTTGCTCCAAAATTGTGCCTATTATATTGAACTGTAGCAAACTGTACAAACAAAAACCATATAAGAAATTGTACATATATACATATATGTGTGTGTTTATATATAAACAAAACTTTCATGGCGGATTTTCTTACGGCTATATTAGGATCGGCGGTGGGAAAATTGGAAGTTGTTGGATAATGCAACCCTAAAGCTTTTAATCTCTTGGTCATGATTAGATCTTCTTTTGTACTCCTTTTGATGAGAACTGTTCCTGGTGGGCATTTTATGTTGCTGGGCAAAAAGCTTGGAATTTCGCCTTCCATCATCGACTTTGGAATGTTTTTTGGCTGCATATGTACTAAAAAATCAACATTAAACCATCAGAATAGAATAGCGGCAGTTATATAACAATCCAAATCGAAGAAGCACGGCAAGAAATTTATATTATTTCAACAAAATTATTTATCACTAAAAGTACTAAATTTGTCACAGTATATTTATTCTGACTAATTTTATTTGTTACCATGTTTGTTAGAACAACCTTGTCATGTAAAGTATATTGTGACAAAATTCTGTTCGTTACCATTTTATAGTATTTATTGTAACAATGAAATTTCGTTACTATAATTAACTTATTGCAATAAAATATTTGTCACAATCAATTAACCATTTCGTCACGAGAACTACATTTTGTTATAACTAACTTATATTTTAACATTAAATATAAAGAGTTTTTGTGATGAATATACGTAAGGCAACAAAAATTATTTTGTTGCAGTTGTTATTTCGTCACTAAATGTAAAATACAGAGACAAAATATTTTTTAAAACAAAATATTCATTTTATCACAAAAAATAAATTTTGTCACAATTAACTTAGATTATGACATCAAATAAAAAAGGTTTTCGTGTCAAAAAGACATGTCACAACAAAATTTAACTTCTCACTACTTTTATTTTGTTACTAAATATTTTCTATAATTTTTTCTGTGACTAAATAATTTTGTTGCAATTTGTTATAGTGAAATAATATTACTTCGTTATAATTTTTTTAATTGAGAAATTAATATTTGTTATAAATTGTTATTTTGATTAAATAAATTTGTCACAATTTTTATTTTAACAAAATATTGTGACAAAATAAATTTGACATAACTTTTTATTTTAACTAAATTTACCGTGTTATTGTAACTAAATAAATTTGTTACAATTTATTATTGTGATAGTGAAAGAATGTTATTTGTCATAATTTTTTATATTTGAGAAATTAATATTTGTTATAAATTGTTATCATGACTAAACAAAATTGTCAAAAAATAACATAATAGTTATTTTGAGAAAATATTATGACGAAATAAATTTAAAATAAATTTTTATTTTGATTAAATTTAATATATTTTTGATTAAATTTAATATGTTATTGTGACTAAAATCAACATTTTTATCCATATATACATTAAAAAGAAAAGAAATCCAATACAAATTTGGGACATTTAATGGCCAGTAATAGTCCCAAAAATGACTCATGAGCAACCCCAACAACTGAGAAGCACACCAAATATCTTCCCCTCCTTACCACGCAAGCAACAACAGTCCTTATCTGCCTTAACAGCAGGTGCATCCCATGCTAGTGCCCATGCCCTTTGTTGCTGGTGACCATGCTCTCGCCGTACCTGTAAGCAAGTTTCTCACAAGCAAACTAGAAAAGAGCAGAACAAAGAGAAGCAAGTCAGAGGAAGAAAAAAAGATTTTTCATTTCATTATTTGATTTTTTGTAATATTGAGGGGTTCTATAAAACCTCCTCCGAAATGCATGCAAAGGAGTAGGCTCTCCCTTGATTAAAACAGAAAGGAATACAACAACCATATACGATGGAAGTAAACCTATGAATGTACTTGAAAACCCAATACCTCCAGTCATGATGTTTTATAGTCTTAGCAGAGCAGAAGAATTTGATGAGCGCCCTACATTTGGTATGTGCAATGGTCAAGAAAAGAATAGTATGTGATTGTTTGACATGAAAGAGCTAGAAGAAAAATCTACACCAAAGTTGATAACTGCATTCAATGGAAAAGGTGAAGGGTGACATTGGGATGGAACAACCTTAACTATCAACATGCTTTAACTTATAGGTTCTAAAATCTACTTCAATCTTACATAACTTAGTTTTGCTTGATTCAGATCAACAAATACGCGACAAATAACACAAAAGTCCTAGCATAAGTATACTAAATCCATCATTCGTTAAAAATTTAATATCTTGGTTCCAAATTTATTTTTTCAAGGTGTACTAGTTAACTACCTCGCTCTGTGATGATACCGACAATTGATTTATGCTCTCCAGGTTTTACCACCACCAGGGAACCAACATTTTGTTGAGTCATCTGAAAAAGATTGAACTCAATAAGCATGCAAATCAAGTATTCAATGAAGAAGCTGAGAATCTACGAAAATTATAAATACGCATACCGACTTCACGGCATCGTAAACAGTGTCATCTGTAGTGCACCAAAGCCAGGAGTCATCTGCAGCTTTACCTTTGGCTTTCAAAACGTCGGAAATAGTTGTGCTTTCAAAACGTCTATTGCAATTGTATTAGAATGGACACTTCGAATGGGAAAAAAGTTTAGACTTTTGTTAATGTGATCAATGCCGATGATGTTAGTAATTTGAAGGTAGACAAGTAAATCCGAAAGTATAGTCTTGGCGAAAATATATACCTTATGCACTAAAAAATGGGGCTAATGGCTTCTGTTAGATCATTTCTTTATTTGCAAATTTTGATTTCCTTACACGTAAAAAATAAGTTCTAAAACAGATACCTTGGTGGAGCCTTTGATGTGGAGTCTCTTGTGGAGAATCTTCTCGGGCAACTTGCTGGAAATCAAGCGATTCTAGTGCACGTATATGACATTACTAACTCTTCTGATCACCTGATCATGTATGGTCACCAAGATCAAGGTGGTGACTTGGCTCTGTTGTATGAAAGCAAGCTCGATTTCGGAGATCCGTTCAAGAAGCATACAACGATATGTCGGTGAGTGCAAAACTGGTTACTTATTCACACGGTTTACGGAATGAAAGCTGTTGATTTTATAAATTAGCCGTTGGCTTTTTCGAGCGGATATCATCATAAGGCACCGACTTCATGGACAACGCTGACCATTGAATTCTTATTCTTTGTCATCTGCTTATTAGTTGGTTATATCCTATATGGTGCAGCTATACACATTGTTAAAGTTGAAGACGATTTCCATGAAATGCAAGAACTGAAGGTTCGAGCCGAAACTGCTGATGTTGTCAAATCACAAGTATGTTTTTCAAGATATCTTTAAACACATTGTTGATTACCGATTTCTGAGCTAAAACTAATATCAATGTGTTCTTGTTTCAGTTTTTAGCAACAACTTTACCTTTGGCTTTCAAAACATCTGGAAAACATAACGGGTCGCATAACCTGATTGACAACCCGAATGCAATGCAAGACCGCATTTTTCACGGTGTTTCCATGCACCGAAAAAGCTTGAACCGATCGCTGCATTCTACCTATTACAAGTGACGTTCTAATCTTTTTGGGGTGTTAGGATTTGCAAATGGTAAAAAAGAAAAGGGAGGAGAGAGATGCGGCGCACAAAGACGAGAAATGGCCAATTGAAAACAACACGCGTGAAAGGCTAGGTTTTTTTGTTCTCCTAAAAGTTTTGGTCAAATTAGAAAATGGGTTCTTATATTATTGCGTATTTTTATATTGGTTCCTTTTTTTCTTTTTCTTCTAATTTAGTCACTGAATGTTTCTTTACTATTTCTGATCGTGGCTCACTGTTTCATTTTAGTACAATTTAGTCATCATTTTATGCTATTATGTTTTATTTTTAATTAACTATTGTCTTTTTATTTTATTGCATTTTAATCCATTGGTTCTTTTTATTTACATTTAATTTTGTTGGATAATTTATATTCCTTTCTAATTTTAGATCAAATCCTTAGGTTTAAATTTCTTTTAAATAAATCCCCACTAGAGTAATTAGACATAATATCAAAGAAAAAACTCATTTTATTTTTTTCTTCACGATGAAAGAAGAAATATAATTTTGGAATAATGGACTGACACAATTAAACTAAGGGTTTTAAAAAAGTATTTATAAAATAAATACAAATAAATTTCTCTAAAAACCAGTTTCCCTTTCAAAATCAATTTCCTTTAGAATAAAATAGAGGGAAATTTCCCTCCTATATAAAACTTAGGTACCCGTATTTTCGGGTCATCGATACCCAATTAAATATTTATTTAATTTATATTAATTTTAAGATAAAAGATGCCTAAGGATCTTGTACATTTTCAAAAAAAAATCAATTTGGCCATCAAATTAGTGTTACATTCAATGCGACCCTCAAACTTAGAAAAAAAACAATTAACATGACCCTTTAACCAACAACTTCTATTATTAACCATCATGAAACTATATAATAAAAAATATTAAAAATAGTTATACAACTAAGAATAGTATTGTAGTGAATATAACATGATAAACGGAAGTAAACTCTACCTAAACTTAATGTAAAAAAATTTAATACGAAATTTGCCCAACTATGGTTAATATATGTTGTTCAAAATTTACACGAACCGCTTTACCTGAGGGCTTAAGTTAGCTTGTTCATTCCCAACTCAATATATATATTGTTCAATTTTTTAGTAATTTAATTTTCATTTTTACTATTTTATTTTTTGTGTGTTTTAGATTTTAAATTTAGAATAATGATTTTTTAATAAATAAATAAGCTCCTGAACTTTTTGATAATATATTTTTGTTATTATATTTTATTTGAAAATACCATTTAATAATATATATATATATATATATATATATATACCTGAGGGCTTAAGTTAGCTTGTTCATTCCCCAACTCAATATATATATATAGTTCAATTTTTTTTAGCAATTTAATTTTCACTTTTACTATTTTTTATATTTTATAATTTGTGTGTTTTAGATTTTAAATTTAGAATAATGATTTTTTAATAAATAAACAAGCCCCTGAACTTTTTGATAATATATTTTTGTTATTATATTTTATTTGAAAATGCCATTTAATTATATATATATATATATATTATTATCAGTAAAAATTAAATTTTTTGAACATTTTATTTTTTTATAATAATAATTATATTTTATCATTATAATTAAATATATAATTGCAAACATAATTTTTTTTATAAAAAACTTGAATCTTTTATTAATTTTTAAAAAATGGAAATTTTGTTGTGATAATTTTTCTATTACAATAACTATTACATATAGTTACAAAACTTGTCACTATATAACATTTTTGCACCAAAAAATAGGGAGAAATATTTCTAATAGTATAAGTTTTCATAATAATTAAAATATATAACTACAAAAATAATTAATTACAAAAAACTTAAATTTTATTAATTACAATATATTTTGTTACTATATAACATTTTTGACACTAAAAAATACGGTGAAATGGTTTTGATAGTATAATTTTTCATAATGATTAAAATATATAAGTAAAAATAATAATTTATTACAAAAAACTTGAATTTTTTATTTAATGTGATAACTTTTTTTATAACAATAACTATAAATTATAATTATAAAAATTGTCAATATAACTTTTGAAACAAAAAATTGGAGAAAAATATTTATGACAATTAATATATGCTATTACTATAGTTAAAATTTATAACTAAAAATATAATTTGTCACAAAAACATGAATATTATTATTTTTTTGACAATGTTTTTTGTAATAATTATTAACACTTATAGTTACAAAATTTGTCACTATATGACTTTTTTGGCGCAAAACAATATGGAGGGAAATCTTTGTGACAATATATTTTGTCACTATAATTAAAACATATAACGACAAACATTGTTTTTTACTAAAAACTTGAATCTCATTATTTGTTGTGATAATTTTTTTTGTAACAATAATTATATCTTATAGTTACAAAACATGTCACTATATGATTTATTTTTGTACCAAAAATTGGAGATAATCATTTGTGGTTGTACATTTTGTCACTATAATTAAAATATATAATTACAAACAAAATTTATCACAACAAATCTAAGTCTCATTATTTGTTGTGACAAAATTTCTGTCATAGTTTCTAAAACTTTTAGTTACAAAAGTTGTCACTATATGCCTTCAATTTTGTGCCAAAAATTTGGAGGGAAACATTTGTGACAAAAATTAGTAATAAAATTTTTTTTGTCACCATATGTTACACATGTTTGTTAATTGTGACAAATTATTATGATAATTTTAGCTTTTATCGTAATTGTATATATTTTTTTAATCTAATGCGACGATTATTTATTTTGTCACCAAAAAACTACTAATAGTGACAAAATTAATTTTGAGAAAATTATATTTGTCACAATAGTAGAAATTTCTTGTAGTGAAGGAAAATATTGTTGACCTGCACTTTGTGATCCTTCAGCAAAGGGTGGTCGAAAGCATGTTGTTTGTAAATGTCGATGCAGTCCAAGATATCACCATAATCAGTCTGTTTTCGCATGAACACAAAAGTCAATGGTAAACTATCATAATAACGACCGTTATATAATGATAATGTTATCATCCGAAACCATTATTGCATCACTGCAATATTCATGGTGATAACGAAATGCAACCAAAAAAATAATTTGGATTTTCATTTCAAGATTACCTTGAAACTCACGACGGGAGGTTTGTTGATAACTTGGAGTTGTCTTTCCATCTCCAGGTTTTCTTCTTCTGATATTGTTTGCCAGTCTTCAACAGAGTATAAAAGACCAAACATTATCTGAATCGAAATTAAAAGTAAAATAAAATTTGTGGATCTTCTTGCAGGCATTATCATGATCCTAGTTGCCATGTTCTGTCAGAAATTTTCTACAATTCAAACAAACAATGGAAGTTCAGATTGCAATGTCTGACCATTAATTTAAATACATGGAACAATGTTATGGATTTCACATTTATATAAGTTAATAATTTTTCTTGAGAATCCAAAAATTAAATGGTAATGTGATTTAATTAGAAATAAATTGCTGCCAAAATAAATGCTAATCTATGTATATTTTTAATACCATCTATATAGAGTATAATAGAGAATGAACTACCCATCTGATCAATACACTATTGGCTGGGTTCTATTTTGACCATTATATTAAATATTTTTTCAATTAGATCACTAAACTAAACTTTTAATTTAGTTTTAATCAAGCTACCAACCATTATTGCTAACGCCTAATGAACTATTAAAGTGAGAGATAAGCAAAATTGTATAATAAAACATTTGATCCTCATTAATTACACACACAATCAATTCAGCCCTAAAATGAATTAGTTTATAGTTTTTAACAAGGATAATAACAAATTTAGACCTTATTTCAAAATACAAATTAATTCATGCCCTCCAAGCTCGCCATTAACCAATGACCTCAACCCAACCCTTAGATAGCCCAAATCGGCCGTCGTCTGTCGTAAATTAGGAGAAATTACCAAAACCACTTTCACATTCCCTCATTCGATAAGCCTTGCTTCGGCCTCCAGTGAGTGTCACCGCCACCTCCAGTTGAAGCACCGTGACCGTCCGACCAAAACCCCTAAGGTCGGTTGTCAAAAGATGTTGTCCTTTGCCGTAGGGGAGCTCGCCAAGGTTTTTCGAATCCCAAGCGCCGTCACCATATTATTTTCTAAATTCTATCGATCGAGACGTCAGCTCGCCTCACCGCCACTCTATTTAAACTCCTCATTGCCGTCCGACCAAAACCCAACCGGGTTCATCATTCGAATCAGTTTCGTCATCGATCGACGTTTTGGGAAGCTCCGGTTATATTCCAGATATTTTTGCATGATTTTGGTTGATGTTTGGATTGATTTTGGCTAAATTCAAATATGTAGTTGGTCGGGGAGAGTTCGACCGTTCAAAATAGCCCCCATCACCACCGCACACGCCGCCACGTGCCGATAGTGTGCGTGGGATTCGTCGGCCGATCTAGGAAGCTTCTGGAACCGATCCAACCAGACCGAATTGGTCCAGTCAAACCGGTCTGAACAAGGTTTATTTGACCCGACCGAGTCAACTCGAACTGAGTCAACTCTTCTGAGTCAACACGTTTGAGTCAACTAGTTGACTTTCAACCATTGACTTTTACACGTTGATTTTGACCGAAAAGTTAAAATTTTTGAAAAAGTCGTATTTTATGTTTTTTGATGTCTTGAGTTTGAATCTGAAGTTCGTTTCGCCAAATTCGTACTCGATAATCCTTTTTAGTGTTTTATCTTCGGATTCAATCTGTTTTTTCGATTAAGTCCAGTTTCTGACGTAAATTCATTTGCTATATATCTGAGACATTATGGGACGTGGAATTAAAGTTTGAGGGCGATTACATGGAGTTTAAATGTTCGATCAATGGAGCACGAAAATCGAGGAAATATATTACTACCTTACATATACTTTATAGAACATGGGGGCATTAGTTGATGCATATAATTAAGTTTGGTTATGTGTGTGTAATTAATAAATTTCTAAACTCGATTTCAAAATAAAATAAATTAAACTGAATAAGGCTCAGACTACCTGTATAGACACAAGAAGACTAATAAGAATGATTTCAAGTTCATCGATTATTCGGAAAAGCAAATAACCTTAGAATCTCTAAATTTTATTTATCCTCGTTAAAAAATTTAATACCGAAATACCTAATTATGAAATTATGGAATTGCCCCTGAAGTATAAAATGACCAAAATACGCTTGAAGTGCAAAATGACTATATTATATGACCAAGTTGAACAAGATGGAAGTATTGTAGGTATCTGAATTGTAGAAACGACTGAATTTCTTTGGAAACTCTGAAGTGACCGGGGTAAACTTGACTACTAAATAACCTAAGTACCCTCAATGACATAGAATTAAGTGAAGGACTTAGATAAGTCTGGAAATACTAATGAACCTGTTGTACTGCCTATAAGGGTTATGAACCACGAATCAAACACATCGACATTTCTTGATATTGTTGCAATACATAAATGAAATAAATACCGTTGGAATACTTGTTCGTCTCCCTAAGATCCATTCAACGATGATTATGAATATGATCGGTTCGACAAGAGTTGTCAATATTATAATGTAAAACCTTTAAAGTACATCGATTTGATCGGTTGACAGGTATCACACTGCTGGGATTTATTCTGTTCGAGCTAACTCGATATCCTGATAAATCACCATGAATCTTAAACACCATGAATCATCATTTAACACTTATTATATCAAATTACTAAGAATTATCCAAGAACCAAATGTCCAAAATGCCCCTGATTTTCTGAATAATGGATTCACTCCTGTCATATTTGAAATCTTAAGTAACTCTGATGCAAAAGATTATGAGTACCTTTTTGATTACTTAGTGCCTCCAAAAATATATGAATACTATATGATCTTGATAAATCACTTTTTGTATAATTGATGACTCTGTTAGCTATCAAACCCTTTTTTTGTAGGGATCTTGATTCTAAAATCTTATTAAATTGCAAAAGTTACATGGTTCCCTACCTGATAAATACCAAGTGTCTTTAAAGAATATCTGGATTCTCTAGCGTGTTCCTTATGTAACATGTAAATGTTTTACCTGTTTTAAAATGTGATTTTCCAAAATTACTGTTTTATTGATTAACTGGCTTATGAACTATGGCTACATAGTATATGTTCTTTGGTTACCTGTTTTCACTGAAAAATATAATCGTTCATGATTTATGGATCATGAAATCTACTGTTTATTGTATGACCCGATTATTGGGGTATCATTTGGGTAGGCTGGAGTATGGAGGTTCAACTCTTATCAAGCTGGTAATTCCATACGGACCTAAGGTGAACTTTGGTAGGCTTTAAGTCCCCAAGGCACTCCCTTGGGTAAACCATTGAACTGCATATGATGTACGGGTGGAGGGAAGTTATGTGGTTTATTTCACGATCACTCTTACGAGATTTTACTGGATCACGACCTGATATTATTGTTTACTATTAAATCTAATTTCTACTAGATATTGTATGGGTAGGAGTCTGGAGATTCAACTCTGATCAAGCTGGTAATTTCTTACGGACCTAAGTTAACATTGGGTAGGCTTTAAGGCCCAAAGGCACTTCCTAAGGTAAATCATGGGATTGCATATACAGTACGGGTGAAGGGCAGTTATGTGGTTTATTTCATGGTCACTCTTACGATATTTTATTGGATCACGATCTTGATATTACTATTTACTGTTAAATCTTATTTCTATTATATACTGTATGGGTAGGATTCTAGAGTGTGGAGGTTCAACTCTGATCAATCTGGTAATTTCTTACAGACCTAAGGATTCCCTTGGGTGATAGGCCCCAAGGTATTCCCTTGAGGTGGTTCATTTGTTGTGTGCTAAGGGTAAGTCCATATGGATGCAGTTCTGCAGAATTGGATATTGGTGTTTGGTTGAAGGGTTTTACTATGGATTTAAAAATAGGTTTTAAATTGTTACTGTTTTAAAATGATCAATACCTTGTCACTGGTTTTATGGGAACACACTAGACACCTATTCTGATCTCCTGAACCTGGTCCTCTGAATGTTTCCTCTGAACTATAAGTTTTCTATCTTTTACTCAAAGAAATATCAGTGGAACCTCAGCTCATCCAGAAAACCTGTAAACATCTGAATCAACAAGGAAAATTTATACTTTTCCATATATCTGCATGTCCTTCAGCATCACTTGGTAGTTTTGTATTACCAAGCTTCCCAAAGTTCACTCTTCTACTCTCCATTTCAGGTTAAAAAATTGATCCAATGCAGCTATCAATTTTAGTATTGGGAGTTCCATTCTGCTTTGCTTGCAGAGTACGATACAATATGTAATTATGAGGTATGTATGTCACAGTAGATTTTTTTATAATGAGTATGAACTTGTATTTTAGTTATAAATTATTTTATAATTTTACGCGTTTTAATAGAAATATTTAAAAAAATTTAAGAATTTTAATGTGGGTCGCTCCGGTGGCCCTAATGTGACACCTCAGATCGGATTGGGTCATCCACGTCGATCAGTGGGTGCTACATTTAGTGGTATCAGATCTTAGGTTGAGTCGAGTTTTTTTGGATAGACAGGCCAGTCGATTGTCAAAAGATGTCTGGTTTGTACATGCCTCTAGATTATGGTCGTACTCTATGAGCCAGAACTCTGATATTAAGAAATCATTCTGTAATAAGCATACTAAAGTATATTATTTGTTGCGACTCAATTTGTGTAAAAAGGGAATAACGTCAGCATACGTCCCAATTCATGATATTAGTTTATTGTGTTTATATTATTTTATGTATTGAATTTATGTTTTCATTTTGAGGAAAATTTAAGCAAGTAAACAATAAATGTATTTTGATTTTGTTACCATGATATTAGTTTATTGTGTTTATATTATTTTATGTATTGAATTTTTGAAGGTATTAATTTTTTAATAGTTTGACTTGATTTCAAAATAGTATATGTTCATAATTTGTTTAATCATCTAAAATGCACACACTTCCTGCAAATGCATCTGCTCGAATTCATGATCTCAATAAATAACAACACTTCTTTTAACCACTGAAAGCACGCAATAATTCATATTAGGTGAATTTTATATGTTAATAATTCACTTTACATAAAATTTAACGTATTCATATATAATGACATGTTCATATTATATTTCAAAGTTTATTACTTTAAACATTGTTAAATTAAGACCCATTTTAAATTAATTCATAAAAATTTGAATATTTTAATTTTATCAATAAAT